TATCTCTCAAAACTCAGCACTTTAAAAAAATCCAGTTAGAAACTTGGCAGAAGACATGAACAGACATTTCACCACAGAGGAATGTCAAATAAACACATGATAAGATAGGTTTTCAACACCATTAACAATTAGTGAAATGCAAATTAAAACCACAATGAGATATCACTGTGCATATACTAGAACAGACAAAATAATAATTTTAAAAATGGTGATAGTATCAAACACTGGCAAAAATAAAGACTGGACCTCTTATACATTCCTAGTGGGAAGATAAAATGGTATAGCCAAACTGGAAAATAGTTTGACAGTCTCATATAAAACTAAACATGTACTTACTATATGACCTAGTAATCACATTTTTCAGCATTGATCATAAAGAATCAAAAACCTGTATTCACACAAACATCTGTGCATGAATGTTAATAAGTGTTTTATTAACTGTGATAACAAAAACTGGAAACAACCCAAATGTCTTTCCATGATTGAACAAACTTTGGTACATCCATAAATTGGAACACTACTCAGCAATAAAAAAGAATGAACTATTGATGCATACAGCAACCCTAATAGACCTCAAGGTCATTAGGCTATTGTCATTCTCAGAATGACAAAACTACAGAGATGAAGAACGATTAGTGCTGTGAGGAGGCATGTAGTGCAAATACAAGGGAATAACAGGAGGGATTTTTTTTAGGGTGATATAATAGTTTTTTATCTTGTTTGTGGTGGTGGTTATAGGATTCTATATATGGGATAAAAGTGCATAAATCCGCAGACACATACATGAAAGCATGAAAACGTGAAATTGGAATAAGGTGTGTAGTCTAGTTAACAGTATGGTACCAATGTCAATTTCCTGGTTTGATACTAAACTCCAGTTATGTTAAGATGGCATGACTGGGGAGATCTGCACATATGGTACATTCAACCCTATGTACTATTTTTACCACTTCCTGTGAATCTATATTCTTTTAAAATAAAAATTTACAAAATCATGGAAACACATTCTATATACAAATAAAGGCATATCAAAGGCAAAATAAATAAGAAAGCAAACTATATCACCATTATGGTTTCCGTGAATTATAGATGTCAACGATCCCATGATGCATCAGCCATTTTTCTAGTTTCCATAATTTACATGGTTTAAATAATTTGTGTAATACTCTTTAAAAACAGAAATTTGAAGCAAATAAATTTTGTGTGGAGAACATAAAGAACACAATTAAAAATTTAATTGTTAAACATTTCATTTTAGCCCCCAAGGATCCACCTAACAACATGACATTTCAGAAAATACCAGACGAAGTTACAAAATTTCAGTTAACGTTCCTTCCTCCTTCTCAACCTAATGGAAATATCCAAGTATATCAAGCTTTGGTTTATCGAGAAGATGATCCTACTGCCGTTCAGATTCGCAACCTCAGTATTATACAGAAAACGGACACATCTGTCATTGCAGTGTTAGAAGGACTAAAAGGTGGACATACATATAATATCAGTGTAAGCATCTGTAGCTTTTAAGTATTTATCTAAATTATGAAGTCAGTTTATATACTTAGCGTTCTAAAATGTTGCAGTTTGTAATGCATATTACATTTCTCATATCTTTTTATGAAATT